GTCAGCCGCTTCCTGGCACAAGCTCAGCCCCCTACACCTGCAGCAACCCCGAGTGCACCGGCCGCAGGTTGGCAGTCGCTGGAAACCGGCCAGAACCAGTCAGATCCCGTGGGACCGGCTCTGAAAATTTTCGGGGGGTCCACGGGGCTCGGGCAGTGGAGCAGCAGTGCTGGCAGCAGCGGGGCCGACCTTGCTGGCGCTTCGTTGTGGGGGCCCCCAAACTATTCTTCTAGCTTGTGGGGAGTCCCGACTGTGGAAGATCCCCATCGGATGGGCAGCCCTGCTTCTTTACTACCTGGTGACCTTCTGGGAGGAGGGTCGGATTCAATCTGAACTTAGAACTTTCAACTCTGACCTCGTGACCTTTTTTAGAACAGCAGCAGCACTAACTTGACCTTTTCGTTTTTTTTTCAACTTGCAATAAATACATTTTTAAAAGGAAAAAAGAAAACGGAGAGAGAAAAAAAGGTGGGTCATTGACAGACTGAGCACATAGTTGCCTCCCTTATAACTTCAGTTTTTTCGTTTGGAATATGAATCCAAAAAGAGAACATATCACTCTTGAAATACTTGAATCATGAACGCCAACCTAGAAAGACAATGTGAAGCGAGTACACATACCATTTAAATCTAAACACAAAAAATTTAAAAAATTAGTTTCTAGTTTTTCACTTTTTTCATGTTATACGGAAGTTGTTGCTAAGAAACATATATACTGAAAAAAAACCCAAAAAACAAAAAAAAACCCTGTTATTGGAGAATGAGTATGAGGACCCAAAGGGGTGGGTAGAAGCAGAGGGGTGAGGATGGGCAGGAAAGTGTAGTGTTAATCATAGCGTTACACAATTCGATGGGGTGGAGAGGTGAAGGAAATGGTAAGGATCTTATGTGAAAAAAAAATATATTCAAATCTTTGTAAAGAAATTCGTATAAAATTTTTAAAAAAAAAGAGGTAAAAAAACTCCACTGTATAGGAACCGTGAAAGCACTTGGTGCTTTTCTTTAATTTTTTGTGCCAATAAAAAGTAAATAAAATTAGGCAGCATTTAATACCTGTTAAATCTGTAATATATTGATTATATTCTAAAGCATTAAAAATATATTTCTTAAAAAAAAAATATATTTCTTGCCTTTTCATGAGGTCTCTGTGGATACTAGTATGATACAATTGAGTTTATGATTCCTGGACTTTTTTAGTAAGCTGCCTGTAATGTTGGGAGCCCATTCATCATGAGTTGTTTTCTCTTCCCAGAGGATTCCCTCCTTCGTCTTCACTGTGCCTGGCAGACCTGGTAAAGTGGCTTTTGGCTCACTGTGGAAGGCCCCAGATGGAGTTTCGGCACAAATCTATAGAGCTTTTTTACAAATTTGTTCCTTTACTGCCAGGTATAGTAATCCTTATATTCTATAAAATGATAGTTTTCAATTTTAGAAGTACTACAAAGACTTATTTAGAAGTTGGGTTTTCCACTATTTAAACGAGTATGGTGAATAATATGTAAACATGTTCAACAATCATTATTAATTCTTTTTATGATGTATCAAATTATGGCTTCTGTGTCTCCAGATTTATAGAAGAAAAGTAAAATACTATTTTAATGCTAGTCAAATAATACAGAAAAAAATACATTTATAATTCCCTGGGTTTTGTTTTGTTTTGTGTTTTGTTTTGTTTTTTTACTTCTCTACAATTTTTCTTTTTCATCTCATTTAGAAGAAGGTATGTTTTCAGTGACCATTGCAATTTGTGCAATATTTAACCAGGGTTCAGAATATTGAGTTAATGAAGTAATGCAGCTATGATGCTAGATCCTTAAATCTAAGTGATTTCAATTCAATATATTAAAGGAAAGCAACAGATCCTTACAAGAGAAAATAAAAATTAGTTCTTGCAATTCTGCTAAACTTTGGAAGGATTCATGGTTTTGTTTTACTATAGAATATAACATTTTAATTACATTGTAAAGGAAACATAAAAACACTTTACCACATTCTTCTAAGAAATAACTTCTATGGGTTTACTCTGATGAAAAATTATGTCAACCAGCATTTTGTACCTGTTTAACCTGTGATATTTCTATTGTGTTCAAATGATAATGCATTTAAAAATTGTCTTTTTATGAAGTTTCTACACATGCTGATATGTTAAAGTTTAATTTAGGGTTCCTAGACTTTCTCAGTAACCTTCATTGTGTGGATGACACAACCTTGGAAGACTTGAAGCTCTTACAGCACACACTGCATCCTTCAGTATGAATTACATCTCAGCATCAAGGAAGCAAAAAGCCTTGCCTCTGGACCAATGGGCAACATTATGATGGACAGAGAAAGGATTGAGACTGTCAACAACCTGATATTAATTGGATCTGCAATTAGTACACTTGGTACCAGCTGTCAGGAGATTAGGAGACATATTGTACTTAGAAAGTCTGTAGTCAGGTGCCTCTCCAATTACTGAGGAGCAGTGATGTCATTTAAGGACTAACATGTGCCTGGTTCAAGTCATGATATTTTCAGTCACTTGCTATGCATCTGAGAGCTGGACAGTGACTAAAGATGACAGATGCCTTTGAACTGTGGTGTTAGAGTGCTTATGTCCCATGGACTGTCAGAAGAACAAACATATTTCTTGGAGAAGGTGCAGCCAGAGTGCTTGGAGGCAAAGGTGGTGGAGCTTCATCTCACACACCAATTGCTGTAAGAGGTTATTCATTAGAGAGAGACATTATGCTTGGGAAGGTGGAGGGATGGTAAAAGAAGAAGATCCTCACCCAGGTGGGTTGATATGATAACTGCAGCAGTGGGCTTGAGTGTGTTAAAAATTGTGAGGTTGGAACAGGATAGGACAGGGTTCAAATCTATTGCTCAACTTGACAGCACCTAACAACAACAGACTCCTTTAGTTGAATATTTAATAACTAGAGCTCTGTGACTTGTACAGTGTATATTTCACTGACTCGTGCTATGTATTATGTGTACTATACAAGTTCAGGAAGCTCTGGTGATGTAGTTCATAAGAAGTTGTGCCCTGAGAGCCCAGACCATGGCATGGGGTGACAGGCTTGAGAGGCCTTCTGAGGGTGAAGACGGGATGTGTTGGAGTGACTTTGTGTCCTTGAATGTGCTGACCTCAGGAATGGTGGAGTTGGGGGCTCCCTGAGCACATATTTGTGTTGTCACGGAGAAGTGTGACATAGCCTGTTACAGAGCATAAGATGCGGAGACAGGGTTAGGTGTGTCCCTAAGATGTCTCAAGGGTGTCTAAGAGTAAATCCCTATGTAACTGCTTATGCAAAGACTAAGCCAGGATGTGAGAAAGGTTCTGTGAGAGGGCAATACCTGAACAGGAGGAGCCCCAAGAGAGGGAGGACACCCGTGCCCTGTCCCACCTCCCTCTCTGTTTCCTTCTTGTCCACTACATTTTCCATTGGTAGCCCGAGTCCATGCACGCTTCCTTGCTCACGCAGGTATTGGATGCAGAATTAAATATCTAATTCTTTCCATGAAAGATTTTGCTCATACAGATTGTGAAAGGCACATATTGATACATATTGATAGAATAAAAAAATTTAGTCCATATTATCTTAGAAATACACGTCTGTTAGGAATTCTTCACCTTTAGTGTAGTTAGAATGATTTCACCTCTTCAGAGCCTCTTATTTCAGAACGTATAAAAACTATCTTACTATTTTTTTTACTTGCAAAAAGTTCAATATCTAAGATAAGTATCTTTTTTTTTAAATTTGATTTATTCTTTGCTGTTTGGGGAAAGGCATGTGCTTCATAAATATGTATCGGAAGGTACTTAGCAAATGAGTAGAAACAATAAAGATATGTCAAAGTAAACAGCTCCTATAAATATGTCACTTGGTAGACAAATTAGTGTTTTATTACTACTAAATACTACTGCTTGACGAAAAGGATTTCACGTTACTTGCACAATGGGTACATTATTGAGTGCCTCTGTGGAAGGGCGTGATAAAGATGAAAAATGGTGATGGTGACAAGGCTAAAGATGAAGAAAGAAGCAGTGCGGGGTAAATGCAGCTCTGAGACCTCCCAGCTCCAGGGGAGGGCCATGTTCTTTAGCAGCATTCCAGTTATTTATATGTGTATGGACCAGAAGGCCCCGCAGAAAGAGGATTTCTGCAGGATGTCATGAGTGTTGCTGCTAGATGCCATCGAGTCCAGTACCACTCTTACTGACCCTGTGAACAGCAGACTGGAATCCTGCCCTATCCTGTGCCATCCTCACAATCTCTGATACACTTGAGACCATTGCTGCAGTCACCATGTCAATCCATATCATTTGAGGTCTTCTTTTCTTTCACAGACTTTTTATCTTTCAGAGAATGATATCCTTTTACAAGGAATAGCCTATTCTAGCAACATGTCCATAATGTGGGAGATGAAGCCATCTTTGCCTTCAAGATGCACTCTGGCTGCACTTTTTCCAATATGTATTTGTTCTTTTGGCATAGGATATTTAGTACTCTTTTCCAGTACCAGGGTTCAAAGGTTGCAATTCTTCTTCTGTCATCTTTATTCATTGTTCAGCTCTAAGATGCATAGCAAGTGATTGAAAAGACCAGAGTCTTCAAACTAACATCATTACTCTTAAGAATTTTGGAGAGGTCCTTGACAGCAGACTTGCCCAAAGCAATAAGTCTCTTTATCTCCTAACTGCTGATACCAAGTAAGTTGATTGTGGATTCAAGTAAGATGAAATCATTGAGAGTTTTAATCCTTTATCCATCAGTCATGATATTGCCTATCAGTTCAGTGATGAGGACTTTTCTCTTGGGATGTAATTCATATTGAAGGCAGTAATCCTTCGAGAAGTATCTTTATTTGTTTTTTTTTTAAATTTTATTTTAATAATTTTAATCAACATTTACAGAGATTTTGGATTTCCATTCTTTCATTGTTGCACAATTCCTCTGCCCCAGTCCGCTTTGCTGTGCAGCTTTTATTCTGGACTGTTGTCATGCAAATAAGGCATATATTCCTTTTAAACAGTTCTTTCCCTCATCTGTTTCAATGCAGTGTACTTTATTTATCTCTTCTTTTCTTAGTTTCCCTCCAACCCCTCATGTCAGTTCTGTTTTATAACAAGTGGCATTGTGCAGTATTTGTCCATTTGTGATTGAGATATTTCGCTCAGCATAATGTCTTGGGTCACCATTTTGTATAATATTTCCTGAGTTCCTTGTTTTTCAGTGCTGCATAGTATTCCGTTGTGTCACTATACCAGAGCTTCTCTATTCATTCATTTGTTGATGGTCACTTGGGTTGCTTCCATCTCTTTGCTATTGTGAACAGTGCAGCAATAAATATGAGCATCCATATATCTGCTTGGGTGGCAGTTCTGGTTTCTTTATGGTATATTCCCTGTAGTGGAATTGCTGGGTCAAATAGTATTTCTGTTTCCAACTTTCTGAAAAAGCACCATACTGTCTTTCAGAGTGGTTGCACCATTTTACACTCCCACCAACAGTGAATAAGGGTTTCAGTTTCTCCACAACCTCACCAGCATTTATTGTTTGCTGCTCTGTTGAATTTTGCTATTCT